TGCCGGTGTGTGCTTGCATTTAATTGAATGTGTAATGTTATCTTTGAAGTTAAACATGCGATTGACATGAGTGGAATCGCACGGTCGTGAAAGATAAGTTAAATATGGCCCCAGGAAAGTCATAAGTTTAATGGGAAAATTGTGATTAGCTAGAGATACTCTCTGCATTTTCCTTTTCCTAAAAAATGACTAGGGGTAGGCATAGTGAGAATGTTTTAAGAATGGTAAAAACTATCTACCTGTCGACCTGCTATCTTGCAATACGGAAAACATTTAAATTAAGATAATAAATAATGAATTTTGAATTATATGGATGACCTCATTTCGCAAACAATTAGCAGAAAATCAGCACAGAAAATAGTGAAAATTCTGCGTCTAATTAGTTCTTATAATCAAATATCTCAGGAAAAAACTAATAGCTTCTCTGGAAGCCAAATTCTGACAGCTCCAAATCACATGGTTTATTTTTCCAGGTAATAAGTGCTTACAGAAATGGTTTTCCCTCGAATGCAAAAGTACAAACATTCATATAGATAGCTATAGATCCGATCTGGTCTGGTTAGTGTTATAAATGCAGGGATCTGGCAGTGCCCCCAGCCCCAGCCCACTGGATTCGCCACTTCAGGTCAGGTGTAATCTCTCACTGCAAATCATCCGCGTTGGCGGCGGCGGCGCAACTTTGGCAGACTTTGTCTGGGAAATCTTCTTCATAATTCTTCTTTGACCACGTCTCTCTCTCTCGCTCTCTGTTTGGTTTTCTTCTTGGGAAAAGTGCACACGATTCTTTTGGGCTTTTGTTTTTTGCTAATAATAACAAATAGCAGCAGCAGCAGCAGCCGCAGCAGCATCAACAATAACCAACTGACTAGTGGCAGCTGTGCCGCCCGCGCACTCTCTCCTTATGGCCAACAATTTTCATTTGGTTTTCTTCCTTTTTTCCCCATCATTTCGTCGCTGTTGGACTAGAAAATTTCGTGGTAATATTTTATGGCAATTGATGGCCGAGAAGGAGACTTTTTGCGTTGAATTTATGTAACGCACTTTACTCCAGTTCCAGTGGTCAGTCAGTGGAGATTTTCCTTTTGGCAGGAGGGACTTGAAGGTGGGAGGTGGGCGGGAATTTGGAGGTTTGCTTGCGCAAAGTTGAAATAAACAATAACAAATTGCGCTTGATTTGCTTTATGATGTTTACACGAGGCCCAGTGGCTTGTTTTCGGTGCGTTAGTACTGTTTGAGTGAAGGCGAGTGGGTGGTGGTTTGCTTAATTAATGTTTTTGTTAGCCCGAAAAACGGAAACGACAGCCAAGAAAAATAAGTACAGGTGCTAGGCGATTTTAAGTTTTATACCTGGAAAATGAAATTTTCAACTAACTGGCAAATTATTGGCAAGCAAAATGGTAAACAGGAAGGGGATTTACCTTACTCTCAACTTGTTTCTATTTAAATTCAAATATTTTAAGCAAGAAAGTCAACTTTAAACGTGGAAATTGCAAAACAAAATAAGAAATATTTCCATTTTATTAATCGATCATCATTTAAGCTCATTTTTTCATCTCCAACTGTGGCAAGAAAACAAGACTCGTGTATGTGGCATGAAAAAAGCCCGAAAATTGAAATATTCAAAGCCAGAAAATTGTCCAAATTAAATGTGAGATGGAAAAAAAAGGGTCGGAGGTCAAGGGGATTGAAGTGCAAAAACACAACGCACACCCACAAAATGCCAGCCATACTGCGAATGATTGATTTAAAAATATCCATGCCTGGCAGATGCCATAAAACATACCTGCAAATGTAAATAAACATGGATATATATATGGATATATATATATTTGGAACATACGAATGCGTATAAATATTTCTGTGTACTCAACTGTTTAATAGGTCGTTCAATGAGGTAACTTTGCAGCTGTGAGCTGCGAGAAATTCGTGTTAAATCAATGATCTAATGAGTGGATAATGGCCTTATAGCATCAGATTTTCATTGCTGATGGAAAATATAGCTGCAGGGAAATGTGAGTCAATCGTTATTCGATTTTAATGAGAAGGAAGGCACATAAGGCAAACCATATCCGCTGTAATATTTATGTTTCCTTTAAACTCTCACACATTAGTTAAGAGTTACCCTAAAATATTTACGAAATTGAACAATAAGTTAAGTTTTTAAGGGGGAATTTCAATAATTAATCCAAAATATTTGCATTCAACCCAAAACTTGATTCACTTTCACTGGAATCCCTGAACTCCCTGGCAGTCCCTGACTTTCTTGCAAGTCCCAAATGATTCATTCGTGGACCTCACTCATTAGTAGCTCATTTATTTCGGGAAACCCTGACCCGAATCGATCTGTGGATAAGCCAAAAAGGAGTGACTGTGTGCTCTTTGTCCCAATTTGGGTCGCACTTTCATGTCAAATTAAATGAACATCTCTCTGGTGAAAGGGCTTTCCCCCCTCCTCTCTGACTCATAATTAAATAGAAATCCAAAATGGCAATGGGTGGAAAATCCGTACGAGAACGAAGCCACTTCAATAGTGAAAAAGAGATCCCTTCTGTGTTCCATTGCCATAATGAAAATTCATAATCTTTACCTCGGCCAATGGACCACACAAAATGGGAATAATAAAAAAACACAGTGGAAAACGTATTCACAAATGGAAAATGAGAAGAAAATCCGGCCGGGGCATATGGAATGCACCGGGGATGCAGATGGGATCCGGATACTCAGATACTGGTAGGATATATACGTATATATATATATATATATATGCCAATGCCAATGCCGAGCACTGATATGGGATGTGTAATGAACTCGTTCATTCCGCTTTCCACCTCGCATTCCGCGTTTCATATAGTTTTTTTTTTCCCCCTCTTTTTTTGGCTTGCTTATTTTAACAATATCCAAAAGCTGAAAGTCCCAAGTCCCACATCCCCATATCCTATATCCCATATCCTCCAGGTCCATATCCATAGACCATATCCCGCCCAAAAACCCATCCACCAACTGGCCCACACTCTGCTCTCAGCAGATAGCGCGCGGCGCACACAACTCGCATATTGTTGTCATATTGTTGGCCTCAAACCCAACCGAAGGTGACACAGTGGTGCGAAGAATATTTGTAAGACGTAATATTTAAGCAACAAATTTAAAAACTTTTTAAAAACTTCGCTTTTTACAGGGATTTTCAGAGAAAATTCCATTTGAATAGTTCTTGTTTCTTTGTTTCTTTCACTGAAACTTAAACTACGAATTAGGGCATTCATTTCATATTTTTCTTATGCCAAACCCTTGCCCCACTGTCCTATTTTGTGACTACGAAACGCCCTGCAGGCAACAACAATGGACACACGGAATTGTTGCTCTTGTTGCTGTTGTTGCAAGTTATTATTGTCTGTTGCTGCTGCTGTCGTTGTTGTTGTTATCATCCGGATGTGTCACTGTGTGCATATAAATCGCATTTAATTTATTGTAAATCGGATTAAATTACCAAATGTTGCACGAACGCACGAAACGGGAACGGTATACGAGTATAGCGTATGTGAGATATGAAAGTGGGAGCGAGAGATGCAAAGTGGGAGAGCGGGATGGTAAAATGAACTGTAGGCCTAGTTAACCCATTAGTTGGTAGGCGTTAAGATTTGGTTGTGTTAACATTCCTTTGAAAGGGAATTCATATGTTCTTTTTATTTTATAATAAAATCCCAAAAAATTATTATAAAATTTTCACTTTAAAGGACACTTCTTTCTGTGCAGCTGCCCAAACCATTGGCAAACTTCACTAATGGGTTAAATGCTCCAAGTGTGTGTATTCAAAACTCTTGACATGCACCTTTCGCCTACTCTGACTGAACATTCAGACCTTAGGACTGTCCCCTGTCCCCTGTACCATGCACAAGTTAAATCTTTAAATATGCAACAGCTTTTGGCCAAGAGCCGTGCCAAAGACCCATTAAATGTGGCCAAAAGCGGCTTATTAACTAAACATCCCACCGAACGGCTCGGGCCCAGCTGAAGTAACCACTGTGGAGTCCTTTATAATAGTCTCAAACCGACACATACGAGTATGACAAAAATAATCCCCCCTCGAAACTATAAGGGCAAGCATCACTGAAATGAAGGACAAAAGGACACAGAAGTGGGAACCAAGAAAATAAATATAAGATAAATTATTGTTATACAAGTAGATTGTGAGTTAAAACACAGAGAAAATGCCATTAAGTTGGAAGTTTGGTTTCCAAGAGAGAATTATGACTAACGCCTGCAAGTCGGCAAGGAATTATTCAAACGGATACGAGTTAATAGTGTGCATATCCATATTAACTGATATTTCAGTTTAAAGTGGTTACCTCCTTTGAATATAATTCAATTTTAATGTGAATATACCGCCCGCACTACTGGCATTGTTCCAGTGCACACCGATTCCATAAAGCAAAAAAAAAAGAGGGCGAAACATAATGCTGGGCGGACCCATTTGCACTCTCATTTGCAATTAACCGTGTGCGGACGGACGAGAAGCGGACAAGGAAAGAGTCCGGCGGACAGCCGTTAACTGCTGGCGTGCACTCAATTTGCCGGAATATACTCGCACGGAATACTCGGACCGTAATCGTATCTGTTAATGTACATTTCCACGGCTCATAAACGAATCTGTGCAAGGATGATTGTCGTTTTTCTTTCTTTCCTTTTTGGCTTAAGAGGGGATTGGAATAAAAACCACGGGCATTGCTGGGTATGCAACAGAAATCTGACTGAACACTGCAGAAATCAGAACTTGAAAGACTTTAAGTAAAACTCAAGTGGGCCAGAGATTGGCGGCGATTTGCGATTGCCATTTTGGCTTTGAAGTGCCGGACTCTGTCCATTAAGCTCTCAGCACAATCGGCCAGAAAAACAAAAATCAACAACAGCATCTGCATCTTGTTCTTCAATATCCATTCGATATTTCTGATCTATCCGAATCCGAGCTAATTGTTTCTATATCTTTCTTTCTCTTCTACTTGCAGCCTGCGAATGCCATCCGATCGGATCGTATGGCAAGATCTGCAACAGCACCAGCGGTCAATGTCCCTGCAAGGACGGGGTCACTGGATTAACCTGCAACCGTTGCGCCCGCGGCTACCATCAGAGTCAGTCTCACATTGCACCCTGCATAAGTGAGTATAGAAAAGGGATTGGGTCTCTAGGTTCATACCTATGACGAGCTATGGCTAATATCCTAATACTATATATCATTAATATATATACTCCCCCTCCTCCCTTAGAGCAACCACCGCGAATGATCAACATGCTGGACACCCAGAACACCGCCCCCGAACCAGATGAGCCGCAATCCTCGCCTGGAGCTGGAGGTGATCGCAATGGCGCCTCTGGAACGGCCGCCCAGTCACAGTACTATCGCACCGAGGGCGGCAGGGGTAAGTAAGTGCCACCTCTCATATCCATATCTATCTGTTGTGTCTTGTGTGCTAACTATCCGTTTCCCCAAATCCTTTACCACCTATCCCTATCCCTATCCCTATCACACCCCCATCCTGTTGCATCCTGTTGCTCCTCCAAGTGCTTATGCTAACTGCTAGTATTGTTGCTCAGGGATTACAGTGGGGCTTCGATAAAGGCGGTTGCTTAGGTTAGGGAAACATGAAAGGTTACTTTTAAGATCTATCTTAAAAGGGAATCATAAGATAAAGTTTTAAAGTTGGATTCTTAGAAATCATTATCTAAGTCATTATGTATTGGTTCTAAAATTAAGGTTGGGAATTATAAGTGACTGGCTAGAAAAGCAAAACCAATATTCTAGCTAGCAGACTTCTAACACTTATCTCAGCATTCCCTTTTAGCTAGTAACCACTGTCTAAAGCCTGCGGGCAAAGGAGGCGCACAGTTTTCGTTTGCCGTGGCGCTTGGCTCGCCTTTGTAATCCTTTCAAATGGGTGAGAAAACACAAATCCGCTAAAGTGCAGTCGGTTGTCGGTCGACGGTGGTGGTCAGGAAAAGTGGAAGCGGAAAAACAAGGAGCGGCCGCCCAAGGAGCAAGAAGTATCAAGCGGGAAAAGGACAGACAACAACGGCACTTAACAGACAACGCAAATGTTTGCACGCAACTTTTAGTTACAGTGGCGAAGGAAGTATACTGGGAGGGAGTCCAGAGGGAGGGTGCAAGTGCGAGTGCAACAAGAATACAAAATGCGCCACGCAGCATAAATCATACTAAGCCCAGTTTTAGTCCTCTCTTACTCGCACACTACTTTGTCGTCCCTTTTGCGCAGCTAAACAAACTTTGCAATAAAATGTAGGGGGTAACATAGCGGAGTAACGACTTGAAGATATCCTGTAAACGTTTTCTGAATGAGAATAAAGGAAGTAACATACAGATAAGGGAGCTAAAGACATGTTTTTTATGAGAGGAAGAAAAAAAGACATCCCAATAAGTGCAATCCCCATATACCCTTGCTATTCCGCAACTAAAGGGTATTAAAACAGCAGCAGCAACAGTGCCAACAACAACAAAGAGGACATCCCAAGGAAACATCACAAAAAGATAAAACAAAAAAATGTATAAGCAAAACAGAAAAAAAAGTGAAAGAAGGGCAGAAAGTGTAGAATGACAGAGAGCGGGCGAAACTTGGCAAAGCAAATGTATTAAAAAAGTTTTTTATTTAATTTCCCATGAATAAGCTGCAGCAGCAGCAGCAGCAGCAACAGCAGCGGCGGCGGAAGAGCAGTCGTCGCCTACTTTTCAGTCGCACTGTGACCAGTACAGTGAGTACCACAGCCACTAGCTCTGCTTACAACACCACCACCACCACCGCCGCTAATTGCTGCCAACTATTTGCTCAAGGCATTAGGCAAAGTCACTGCAGGATAACCGAAAGGTGGCGGGGTATGCAGGACCCAAGGATAACACAGGATAGGGATGATGATGATGATGAAAAGGAACCATTTATGCAGCTGCAAGTGGAAACAATGACAAATTGACTGAGCAACTTAAGCAGCCACAGGAATTATAAGCGCCAAGTTAGTCATAATAGAGTCAAATTGTCATTGCCAAGTAGACCAAATCGAAACCGAAAGGAAGAAGGCCAAAAACCAACAGGATTTCCGGTTTTTTTTTTTTGATATTTAAGCTTACGACTCTTGGCACTTGGGAGTTATTTAATTTTAGATTATGGATGCTTTTTAAAATGTATTTATAACAAAGATCGAATCGATACTTTCCAAAAATATTCCTTAAAATTAAATCAAAACTATCATTCTTCCAATCAAGTAACCACACCACATATCATAAACTTACTCAAAGTTCTTTCAAATTTCTATTTAAAATTCACCAACAAAATCCCTGAAGCTTCTTAGAAAGAACAGTTTATTAACTCGACAAGCCAGAGGAATAAGTTTACGAAATCCATTAAAATTGCAACAAGATATGAATAGCTGGCAGACAGAAAACTAGGATCAATTCCTGGCTGCAATTGTTGCATATCAAGTTGCCTTTTGGCTAAAGGACCAACTCCACTCTTCTAACCAATCTGGAATCCAGAATACAGCAGAATCCAGAATCCAGAATCCACTATCCATCATGCCAGTATCCAGTAACCAAAATGCAAATCGAGCACTGCAGAAGACGACGAGCACTGAGATGGGGAGTGCGTTTAAAGAGGCAGCGGCAGTGGCAGCGCCCCTCTTAAATTTATTTGTCAACGGCAAAGAAAAGCGCAAGTTGGAAAAGTTGCCGGTGGAAAGTTTTCCATTTCTTGTAACCAAGAACTGAGTTAGGCAAATGGACAGACACTCACACACACACACACACACAAGCAGAGGGAGAAAGAGAGGCTCTACGTGAAAAAGTTCGTCCTTTGCTATTCATTGGCACAACATGAGGCACGGAGGCGTGGCAGGAGCTGGCCATGTCCCCTCCTGCTACCCCCATCACTCAACACGAACATGAATGTTAATTATGAATTTATAATTTGATAATCTTATTAAATTAATTTAAAATTCTGTCCAAGTTTGAGTTAATTTAAAGTTAGTTGCCCCCGCAGCGAAACGCAGGCCCCTCTGTGTGTGTGTGTTTAGCCGGGGTCGTGGGTCAATTTTAATGTTATGTTAATTTGATGACTGGCAAATTTTCAGAAGATTTATGTTTACTCGAAATTTGCACAAATGGTTATTAAAGTGAGGTGGAGTTATGACCAAAACGGTTCAAGTTTTCTGGTAAAATATTTAAAATATTTTAAGGTGATTGAAAGGAAGTTAATTAGAGAGATTAGAATGCAAGAAGCTATAAGGATTATTCTTAACATTCCATTACGAACTCCATAATAAAGTTTAAGATATTTCCCTCATCTGATCTTTTATCATTTAACAACTTTTCCCAGAATTTCTATAAATGCTGGCCCACTTAAGAACACCCACTTACGTACAAACGCAAGTATTAACTTAGACAAAATTGCCAAAAGCGGGATACCCGAATAGTGAGTCAGAAATTTTCGAAACTCTCCAACTTTATTTTCGGATATTTTCGTTCGCAATCGGGGCGTGGCTAATGATCTTTAAATGACGGCGATAAATATCGTTTGTTTTCTAAGTCCAACAGAGAAATGCACTTTTATCAGTGGAGTGGGTGGAAGCAGAGATCCATAAATAGCCAAAAAGGGAAAGTTTAGATCAATCGATTTATAAATCTCTGCTACTCATTTAATATTATACAAATGTAGTACGTATGTAGATCGATCAAGAGTTTGTTTCTTCCAATTGTGTCACGTTTAATGTGACATTGCAATCGGCGGCAGAAACAGAGCAACAATGCAGAATTGCGATTCCCCAGCCAAAGGAAAAACAAAATAAAAACTTCTTGGCTAATTTTAGTCGACACAAAAGTCGGCCCAAGGCACGAAGTCTAAATGCACAGCAAGAAACAGGGGTTCTACATTCAGCTTAGTTAAATAAATATAAAAAAGGCAAAAGAGTATCTGAATGATTGATAATGTCTAAGGTAAAATGTCTAGGAAAATCTATTAAAATCTATAAAAATCTCAATTTACTGCAAATTTTCTTTAGTTTTCCCCCCATTTTTCCCTGTTTATAGTAATGGGCAGCCTTAATGTAAAATTGATCGAGCATCACTGCCGTTTGTTGCTGCCACTGTTTCTGTTTCTGCTAATTGGCATTGGCCATAAAGACATAAATTTTGCAATTAAATTGTAAACACCAAAGTGGAATGCCCCATTCGAAGGACAAATGGAAAAGGGGGAAGGAGGGATCACAGGCGGGGCAATGTCTTAGGGTTAGGGTAGTTGACAGTACCAACCGATTTGAATCCTAACCCCAATTAACCTCTAACAGAATATCACTCCAAACCATTCGCTCAGCTTCATGTCATCTGTGAAATGCGGTTTTGATTGCTCGTTCACTGTGTGTGTGTGTTCTCATCCTTGAGGACCTCACGGTAGGAACGGCCTATTATGATTTACTCATTTATTAATTAAGAATTTGTCGGACTTTTTCTTCTTTCAGAATGCGGCAAATGCCGAGTCAGCACCAAAAGGCTAAATCTAAACAAGTTTTGCAAAAGAGACTACGGTGAGTGGGAAAAACAATCCAGCTGAATTTCTTTAAGAAATTTGGAAAACTAATTGACTTTTTCTTATCCCAAATAGCAATAATGGCCAAAGTAATTGGTCGCGATACGAGCAGCGAAGCGGTCAGCAGGGAGTCTCTACGACGCGCAATGGATCCCGACGTGGCGGACTACGAAATGGATCAGGATCGACCGGGCTCACCGAATACAGCGGAATACAGCGAGTTTCAGGCGGCGGACTATCCCAGCGGCAGCGAAATGGTGCGGTACGATCTTCAGATTCAGGCCGTGTTCAAGCGAAGCAGGCCAAGCGAAAGCAGCGGCGCGGCGAACGTGTACGGAATGCCGAGTACAACCCTAAAACGAGGTCCTATGACCTGGATCATACCGACTAAGGATTTGGAGTGCCGCTGCCCCAAGATCAGAGTTAACAGGTTAGAAATAATTCCAAAAACTACTTGCTTATGTCAGATAAAGTATAGAAATATAATCAAAAACTTTGTATTTTGCAGATCCTATTTGATCTTGGGCCGGGATTCGGAGGCGCCACCCGGTTACCTGGGCATCGGGCCGCATTCAATCGTTATCGAATGGAAGGAGGACTGGTATCGGCGCATGAAACGCTTCCAACGGCGGGCGCGCACCTGTGCGTAATCCCTTCAGCCCGATCCTAATCCCCACTTCCTTCTCTGTGTAGTCTCAAGATTCTAGACCTAAGCAAATGATTGAATGGCCATAAGAGGGAGAGAGCCGGAACAGGAGAAAACAATCAAATCGTGTCATTGTCGCTTAAACACTATTTTTTTTTTTGTTTTTTTTCCTCAATTCAATGTCAAATTAACCGATTTTTTAGCAGTAACAAAAAAAAGAAAAATCAAACTAGCGGTATTTAATTTATTTAATTAACTTCAATTGTTACGAAAAGCAATCGGTTATTGATTTTAATATACACAAAGAAATCAAAACACACACGAAAGTATCTATATATGTAATCTATGTAATCTATATATAAACGACTTGTATTATTCACTAAATTCTAAGTTTCCTGTCAGCCCAGTTTAAGCATTTGTGAACAATTTACGTACTAGGGCAGTCTCGAGTAAGCGAAAAGAGCACGCCAGTAAGCAATAATTTATCTGTAAGAGAAACCTTGATGCATGCATGACTCGCAAGAAATCGTAATTAATAAATATTGTACAGAGCAGCAGTACGCGTCTTTTTGAATTTGAATTATTTAGCGGGCAATGCGGTGGGCTGCCACCTTGTCTTAGTGCTTGCGCTGCCATCTGTAAGCTGACTTCATTTGAATTTTAAAATGCGAATATTGGTATTTCTAGAACCAAATGGTTACTGTATAACATTTGTGGTTTTATCAAATTATTAAAATGTAAGCTATTAACTACTTAATTGCTTTCAAATGGTCACATTTTAAATTGAAATTTGAATCTTTAGCACTTGAGCGGGAAACTTATCGAGTGGCAGCTCGATTAATTAGCCCATCTAGCGCTGCCACCTGTTTAACTATCGCTTGAGCTTATCGATTGCCAAACATATGTTTTGTGTTTTGTTTACATTTTTATGTTTTATTAAACATTTTTCAAAATATCTTGTTGTGAAAAAAGAAAAGGATTTTCCGGATTTAATGGACTGTAGGGACATATCATTTCATCGCAGACAACGGGGATATCTCGGAAATGGAAGATTTAAACATTTGATGCCGGCAAAACAACAGGAATTCAGAAATTCTTATACTAGGAATCTTCTTAGGATTAATATTGGGACTCCAACTACAAATTCTTAAGAATCTTCTGCAAAAACTTATGGACATTTCTTAGAGAAACTAAAATAAGGTATGAAATCAAGGAATTATTTGATACTTTAGTAATAATTACACAGAAAACATTAAGAAAGCAGATGATCATATTTTAGATCAAATACCTCTCTATCTAATATATTGATAATGTATTATAGTAATTTCTATCATTATTAAATGATACTAGTATCAAAATAGCATATTTGATCTAGTAAATATCATTTTTTTTAACTATTCTCGGCACTTTTATGTAAGGCCTGCCAACTTCACAACATTCTTACATACAATTTTAGAGTTCAAATAATTTTTCATAATTTTGTTCATCATTGCTCAAATAAGATTTATATTGTTAGTTAACATTTAATACAAAAAATTAACAAAAAAAATACAATGTATACTCATTTTCTTTTTATTTGTTAATTTACTCGAAAAATGTCACGCACTCAGCATTTTTAGCTCACGTTTAGTGAAATTCTGGAATTTGTGCTTCGATTTATGCGTTTTTCGCTGCGTCGGCGGTCGAATAAACATATTTAGAATCAGCGACCTTGCATCTTAGACACTCAAGGGAACTACATTTTCAATTTAAGTGCCTTTAAAAAAATATAAACTTGCTTTAGATCATAAAACTGTTCATAAACAATGTTAACTATTTCATTTAGAAGCTAGAAAGCTGGCTAAAGATTAATATCTTTGTTTGCATTTTTGTAGTTTGCTTTTGCTTACTCAGCTATTAAACTGCAAAAAATTCAACTTTTGTTGACAATTTATCATCATTGCAATCATATACGAGGAGTATGTACAGTAGATCTATTTAACAACCTACTAAGAACTAGATAACTTTGTTTAGTTAAGTATTTTAGAGATAGCAAATTTGTGTACTATTTATGGAAGAGTTATTAAACAAACTATCTGCTGATATTGAAAACTAAGTAAATCGAAACTGGTGAAGTTTTTCGCTTTTTCAATATGTAAAATGGAAAAGCCGGAAACCTGATTGAAAAACAGAGAGGTTGAGTTCCCTGAAACCCAAGTTGGCCCCAGTGCTTGAGCTCTGCCGACAAGTTGTCGCCAAAAGACATTCGAGAATTTACATTCATATGCCCTTGAAGTTGAGTCTTTACTATCTATTTGTTTTCAATAAAAAATTGTATACAGCAACTTCAAATCGAACAATAAAGTTTACTTAAAAGTACCATCACATCTTCCCTTTACGTTTAACTAAAATTATATATCCCCCCTTCAAAAAGATATAATTTCTTAGCTAAGGCTAAGTTTCTAACATTTTAAGCAGACGCTAATGTCGTGCCCATTGCTGTTGTCAGTATTAAGAGCAACGAACAGGTGATTTCCGGCTGCATCGTTCAGAGCACTGCATTTAGTGGGCCAACAGTTTGAGACGCTTAACAAGTGCGTTCCGTGCCGTCGCCCAAATTCAGTTCCACCCAACGCCCATTTTACGTCATCAAGCGGCCCCATTTTACCCTCCCCCTCTTCGGGTATCTATGTCTATTTCCGAGGTCCTGCCAATTTGCACGCCCACGCAAGCTCTCTCTTCTTACATAGAGAAAATTTTAGATAAAATTCCCATGATATTTTTTGAAAAATTGATATCAAAATACAGATTTTCTTTAAGTTTATGAACATCCAATTTGATGGCAAATCTATCTATGAACATATTTGTGAAAATATCAATAATGAAACTATTTTTCTCGCTGTGTACCCGGCAAAGTTAACAGAAAAGCTCTGCTTATTCTGCTCAGAACAAGGAGCAGGGCCGAGCCGATGAGAAATACTGGGAAAACGCCGGCTGCGACCCGACTTTCGGGCAGAGCAGCGTTAACGTCGGCAGTGAAAGAAGAGAGTTAGGAGAGCAAAGAGAGTAGCAGTAGTAGTAGTAGTAGCAGCAGTAGAAGGCACGGTGAGATTCCGATACCGATATACCCATCATGCCGATACACATTCATTCCGATTCCCGGTGCCTTATAAATACGCAGAGCCGCAGGGCGACGCTTTCATTCTCTCGCAGTGTTTAAAGTGACATGAAAGTGACGACATTGGCGCACTGTAGCAAGTCATGTATCAGCATGTCCAACCAAACAACACAAATCATATTCACGCCAATGGTGAGTTATCGTTATCGTACGCTTTTTCACCGTTATTCCTCTTTTTTTCTTCTGTTGCTGCCGTTTTATTGTCGCCAATTAGTGATGATTATTCGCATTATTTCCATACCATCTCGTGGGTCTTTTTTTTTCTTGGCCGTCTGCGGTGCTAAGTGAGCGGGCAAACACAAATTGCTCGAGTTGCAGCATGTGATGGCAGGTGTGCGTGCTTTTTTTTCTACTATCTTTTTTTTCGTGTGAATTTTTGGTGTGTGACGCGCATGCGCATGTGCAAAATGACAAAAAGAAAAACGGTAAATTACTGACCGGCTAACGGTCTCTGTGTGTGTGTGTGTGTATGTGTCTGTGTGTGTGTGTGTGCTAGGGCGTTAGTGTGCTTGTCTGTGCATGATTGCAGCAGAACAGCTGTTCTAATCAGCCAAAAACCGAAAAGCCAAGTTCATAAAAGATGCAACAGAAAAGAACAACAAAAACTGTGACACACCCACCCAGCAAAGAAAATCCCTTGGAAGCCTCTTTCTCTCTCCAAGAAAGCCTTCGTAATTCCACTCAAATAACTTATCAAATGGACAATCTATAAAGACTTTTAGCCTCAAGATAGACACGTGTTTTGATAAAATATTCAAGAGGAACTTAAAATATCGACTTTCGTTGATTGACATTAGTTATTTTTGCCAGTGCGGGTTTTAGTTAGAGGAAAAGTTCATTTTTTTTCAGTGACAAACTTTAGAATTAAGTTCTTAAAGAACATTTACTAATAAACCCTCCACAGAACTTAGTGATTCGCATACTGAAAACAAACCTTCAGTCATTCAATGATTTATGTGGGAACTAGACAGACGATTGAAAGTGAATTCATTGATTTATTGGGCTGCATTAATCTATAAACACTTTTCGATAAGATAGTAGATTGAAAGAGTAGATAGATTTCATGTCTGCAGATATTAAGTAGGAACTTGATATCCATAGCTATGCTGTGATACGAAATTCAGATAGTATTTATTAGTCTTGACAGTCTTCTATCATGTTTAGGGTAAAATATAAAATGTTATCAGTGATCTCACTATGAAAGCTCTTAGCCAGAACATATCATAATAGTTCCAGCAACCTAAGGATATATCTTCACCCTTTTGTTAACCATAAACAACATATCTCTATGGTAATATCTTTCAGCAGGGTCAAACTTATCTACTTCGATATTACCAATTACTAACTATACGAGTTTCGTGCCATTTCACTTTCATTTGCAAAAGGTTGTGTTTATGTTATTGTCCCTAAAAGCAATTTTAACGATGGCTAAAACTTGGCCACCCTTCGATTCACCTCCGGCCCTTTTCATTGCCAGTTACGCAATCGTTAAAAGCTGCCGGGGGTTGCTTATCAGTGGGTGTCGACTGTACCCCAACCCACAATCGTAGATATATCTATGTTTCCCAACACTTACACATAGATACATAGATAGATTCCCAATTTCTATGCTCGCATTTTCGCCATTCGGCATTCGGTGTAGACAGGTGTTGCCTATTTTTAGGCGCTACCTTGGCATTACTCAGTGGTTTCACCCCCAGAAAAAAGGCTTAATTATGTAGTCGTTAAGCCGGCTTTTTTAAAATGGAAAGTAAGCTCTGTACCGAGCCGAGATTCTCTTTACCAGCCGGAAGCCCTCAAAGCCCCCAAAGTTGCAGTCAAGCGTTTCAAGGACAAAGTCAAGGCAATGCGCTTGGAAGGGGTGGAATTCTTTAGTGCGTGGGCGGACTTTACTGGTTGGGCGGTTGGCTGCGTAGTTGGCGTGACTGCAATTTGTACTTGACATAATTTGGCCACAACATGTTGGACACTGGAAAAGTTTAGGAGGATCTTTATGAAGTGAAATTGGAAATTGGAAAATTGAAAATGTTTCTTTGAGAGTTTCAGATGGAAAATCCATCTTAATTCTGCAGTAACTACAAGCTAAACTAGCAAATAACTCAACTTTCTAGTGAGGAATACTAATCAGCTACACTAACTACGACTTCTAGAACTCAATTCAAGTCATTTTTCCTTAAAAAAGAACCGGTTTGATATCTCGAAGTAATCCCCTTTCTTACAATTCCCGAAACATTACTTTTCCTTTCATACATCCCACCATAGATTGCTTCACATTTCGTATCTTGAACACATTGTTTGTGGCATCTACTATACGGACTGCAGGCCAATTGAGATACTTGCCCCGTTTATTGTGCACAGGCAAAAATAGTTTGCGGCTGATGATCTGATGCATTTAGC